GATCCATAAATGGAAGTCTGTAGAATATCAGCCCATTGTGTATCGTTGATGGTTTTTTTTCTTAATTAGTTCTTAAACTGTCCTTTATATTACAAAAATGTGCTGGCATTCTAAAGAAAATTACAAATAAATTTACAAAGAATTACAGCACAAAGAACTTTTTGCGGTAACCGAGGCAGTTCAATGGACACAGTTCAAAATTATGTAGCTTCTGACGTATGCAATCGTCCAAATATAGGCGTAACTATAAAGGGCCGCGAGATATCGACGAGGGGCTCCCCCGTCGTCGTCTTCTCTTTTGCCTCGCCCTTTTTATTTTTTCAGACGTAATTACCGTGAGACATCAGCGCTCTTGCAGCCGCTCGGGGTTGTATTTTCAGCAATGTGTCATCCGACACGCGCTTACGCCAGTCGTTTATTTTTGCGACGTATATAGCCCTCGTGAAAAAAAAAGACCCGAACGAGCGGAGCGGGGTGTCGAGGGCCCAGGATGCAAGAAATTATACCGACGACCGCGAGAGTGCCACTTCAAAGAATTGCGGGGTCTTGTTATTTTATTACCACGAGGTCCGCCGCGTGGTACCTTCGGTTTGCCACTCGCGAAAAGATCGGCTTTGAATCTTTCCGCTCGTGGGACCACTTCGGCGTGGGAGCTTTCCTCGAATGATCGCATAAATCGACGTTCCCTGACTCGAGGTTTCGATTCCCCCCCCTCCCTACAATTTCTGCAATTTAAATGCGGTACAACGATTAAAGCTATATGATTAATGTTACTGACTATTATGTAAACGCATAAAATATATCGTTTCGGTAATGCTCGTAAAAAGGTAAATATAATTCGAGTAAAAAGTCAATACGTGAAAGTAAAAAGTAGATATGCTGAGAATTATATATATATATACTTTTGCAACCGGTAAAATACATAAAATAATTAAAAACGTTGCCAGGTTGGAACATTGAATGAGTCGATGTTAAAGTTGATTCGTAATTGCAGCTAACTTACAGACAATATAATCAAATATAAATCGTACGGAAATTACGAAATTAAATGAACAAATAAAAATATAATCGATAAATAATCCGATTAATGCTTAGTAAGACAATCGAAATAATAAACACCGGCTGGTAAAAATGGATAAACTCAGCATTTATTGCGTCAAATGTATCGATATTTAAAATTTTACTAAATCACGACTTCTGTTAAATAATCGAGAACTTGTTAACGAGTCCGACCCCCCAAGTTATTTAAAGAATTTGACGTTGATTTTCTTAAGCACGGACTATAAAGAGATAACCAAGAAGAGATCAGAGATTCCAGGAATATTCGCTGGGAGACGATGGGAGATAATTTTATTTGGTTTCGTAAAGTCAGAAACCGCCGTGTTATTCCAAAATCGCGAAAAACTCGGCGCGATGATCGCGCAAAAAGACAGGCGAGACTTTTGAATTATTCACGAGCCATCTCGAATTGGATATTTTCCTGGCGCTCTAAACTTCATCGACGACAATCTGTTATCCTTCAATTTGGACTAAAAACGTGGCGCTAACCGAAAATCCGATGCAACGTTCTGGACGCAATCGATTTCCCGTAGATTCTCTAAATTGAAATTTAATTCGTCACATCGTTAAATCAACTGGCGCCATAATCATGATTAGTTCATCACGCGATGCACGTAACCATCGTATTAGTATTCATCATATCGTATTATTGCTCAAATTTAATATCGGTTAACATTGATATTTTGCAGTATTGAAGTTACTAGTTTGTGTATTAATAGGTACCTTTTCTGAAATTGTGCCGAGTGTATCGGAATTACGAAATCTAATACTTTTTTTTAATGTCGACAAATCAGTAACAGAACAGTACAGAGACTGAGAACATTCAATATCAAAGGCAAATATTTCTCTAATATTTAACAATAGTTTATTCAATATTAAAAACGCTGGCAAGACTGCACACAGTGTATCGCTGCCATGATATTCTATCTTTCGTCGCATCGGTACTATTCCTCGATATTATTAAAGTAAATATCTCTGTATCTCAACGGAAGATACAACGGAGAAATACCGCAAATATTCGAAATCAATGTCGCGGTCGAAGGTGGAAGGAAACTGTAGCCGATCAAAATTAGCGCGGCCTCTCAGTGGGTGCAAATCAGGAAGAAGAACAGAACGACGAGATGACCGCTCGTAATGAGAGCTCGAGTAACCCAGAGAACGAGAGAAAGGAAGATAAATAGACGAGAGGTAGGCCGCGCGCGGAGGGACCTGAAGAAATGGAGCTAAGAAACGGCCTCTTGGGGATTAAAGCGAATTCACCGCGGACGAAGACCGTGCAATTCTCGTTTCTCGGCCTGTATTATGCGCATTCCACACGATCCGAATTCCGTTGTTAATTTCGTTCAATAAACGAATACATAAAATACGATTTCATTTCGCACCGTCGTGAAGAATTAAACGCGCATAAAAATGAGAGATAAATGATCACGAGAGTGCTTTCCGTATTTTGAGACACGTAAAATCCCGTCGCGAATTTTAGACCGCGTAACGCAGGCTTTAGAGCCGGTGGGAGGTTACCGGCCTCTTCCATCGGAATCGCCAGGTCCCTTCTTTTCTTCCTCCTGAATCAGCCTTTTCTCCATTCTCACCCTCTCGCGTCTCGATACGATTCCTTTTTCTTCCTCTCCTTCTTCTTCCCCTTCCCTCTCGCCCCTCGAATTGCTCGACGGCAGTCCAGGCGATGCCGGCAACGTGTCTTTTGTCCGCGAACCGGTTTCTGCCGGTTCCTCGAACCATTTATTTCCCCCGGCTACATATGACTATATGCTCCTCCTCCCCTTGCCTCCTCTCGTATAACCCGTTCTACCAATACGTTCCTCCGTCCTCTCGTTCCTTTTCTCGTCCTCCATCTCGCCTATCATCTCGCTCTACCACCCTCGATCGTGTTACACCCTTTTTTCGGGCGGCGTATCGTACGGCCGGTTCTCGCACTCGAAATAACGCCCCGGTTCCTGGCAGCCACCCGAGTCCATGAATGAACGCGGCCGAATCGCTCAGAGGCACGGAGGAGACGAGGAGTCACCGAGCCTGACTCGTCTGACCTTCGCGCGGATCGATTCGGCGCGCTTCTATCGACGACGACGAACGACGACGACGACGACGAGGACGAGGGCGACGACGACCCCGTTTGACCTCGCTTCATCGACCACCCCGAAGACCTGGACACTAGGTCGACAGAGCTATGCGGTAGCTCACGTAGGCTCTTCCGCCTTGGCACCGCCACCTCGCTGCGCGGGGACACGGTGGGGGAGAATTATAGTTATTGGCCCCGATAACTGGGCGGTTTATCGGCGATGCCATTTCGTACGTAACGGGTACGTCCAGCGGCGACACTTTGCCAACTTTGCGCGATGTCGCGCGTATTCCTAGATTAATGTTCTTCCCCGAGATACATGATATGCAAATGCGTTCCCTACGTTCGCGAGGCAAAAAAAAATACGTGTGATTTATTCGGACCGATTCGTTTTTTAAATGGTTGGTTTCGAAAATTAGATTTCTCGTAGTCCCATCGTCAGTTGTGATTTTTTAATATGTAACAGTCAAACGTTTCTTTGTCGCTAAGCCACGGTGTGATTAAATGAAAAGCGTCGCTGCTTAATTGCACCGCGGAGACTCCCCTTGATTTTCAATCGCTCGTGACTCGAAAGTTATTGGCATCCCAACATTTTAACGGGGGTGGGGGGGGGGAGAGAAATCGATTCCACATTAATTAAGAGCGCTATCACGCGGTCTCCGTTTAATTCGAAAGCATCATATCGAATGTATGAAGGTGAAAAGGAACTACGACAGTTTCAGATATGACACGACTCATTCAGTTTCGTATCAGGAAACGGGCAGTGGTATTATTTGCCTTAGCAACAATCAGTTTTCGTGCACTTCCCGCGCCCTAACTCGCGATGTTTACGAGCGCTTGCCGATGTACGACACGACGCGAGCGCGATATCGCGCCGCTTTTATCGCGTTTTTATTATGATACCCGAGACGCCGGGGATCGCGTTGTTAAATCAGAAACCCTTTCGTTCGTCTTGTTGCTCGCTCGCGCGCGAGGACGAGATTGCTCCAACGATCGATCGGTGAAACGATCCCCCCCCGACAAACGCGGGCAAGAATGGCACGTCGAGTAATACCGTGGCAACGGCTATCGGAAACCGAGCGCCGGATAAGCTTTTACTATCCGATAACGATTAACGGCCGCGATTGTGCCGGCCTGACCCGAGTATCGGCCGGCCGGCGTTCATCGACTTAAAAAGATTTATCGGCGCACGGCGCCCGCCTCGAGCCTGCGCGATCAAGTCGGAGGAACTCCCGACGTTACACCTAACCCCGCTACGAAAGTTCACTGCCTTCGGAACACGATTAAAACAGTATTCATCAGCGCGCGAATACCGCGCCACTTCCGCCCCAGAGAGAAATTAGCGGGGCAGACATTCCGCGAACCGACTAATGAATTTCGGGCAACCGAGCTTCTCCCGCGCTTCCTACGAGAGTTTCTCTCCATTTGCGTTCTCATTAAATCTCAATTTCAAATAGCACGCCACTCGCGATTATCGTCTCCAGTCGTTTCGAGGCAAGAGAAGTTTCTCGCCCTCGGAATTGACTGCCGTTTACGGAAAAATCCGAGAGGCGAAGCCGAAAGGCTTGAATTTCTCAAAGTTTCTCTTCGTTCGTCGCAAAGGTCCAAATTACTTAAAATATCGCCGCAGAAAATTCTTTGACACAGTTCCCTCAAACGTTAATGCTGTTAAAACTCGCTTGTCAAGATTTGGAGCAGATATTTGGCAAGACGCGACTGACCCGTCTTTTTCGCGAACAACAGTCAATTACAGTGGCGTGATATATTTTGTGATTTGCACGTGTCGCAGAGTTACTGAATTTCCATGTGTGACAGAGTAATTATAAATTGCCCGCAAGCAATGAACTAAATCTCGAGGGTCACTTACCTTTTTCGAGTTGCTGCGATATCGGGCTCTGTACCCTCGGGGTTGTCTGTAACTGCGCCGCGTTTCCCGGCCGTCTTCGAGGCCTTCTTCCGGGTCGGGGCTAAACAACAAGTTAAAAAAAGAATTAATATTTCTTAATAATTAGAGAACGTGAAAATTAATACGTAAGAAACAACTGTACGTGCAAATGTAGCTTCCTATTGCTCGCTCAGATCCATACAGAAGTAACTTCGTACTTTCGCGAAAAATAAATGTTGAATAACAATGAGCTGATCTACTTAAATAAACGCGACTGTTAACCTGTTTTTTAGCAATGACATAGATCGAGCATCGAAGACCTCGCGTGCAACAAAAATATTTCCACGCTCTCTTTCCAAGTCAGCTGACTGTGGATTGGAATAAACGATTGTACCGATTTATTACAGCCCCCCGACCGATCACGCAGATTACAGGCACGCCACGGACATTGCGGCTCAACTATAATTATACACACTGCGGTAGAATCGATTTTCGTGCAATTATAATATTTAACGGAACTTGTCGAAATAATAAAAGTATCCTCGCAACAATATATGAAACAATGATTAAACAGGAAACGTTGTGGTAGAAAAGAGAAGTCGCGACTATCTTGGCTGACATTGAGAAAACGCAGACACCAAAATAGCCGCTTAATCAAAGTAGATGTAGGCTTCCCTTTTCGGAGACACAAATCGACGCAAGTTAACAAAGTTTTCCTGTGAAATGGCAAAGATTTTGAGAAAAGGTTTCGACGAAAAAAAGATTCTATCGAAATACTCGAAGCGGATGCGTTCTTAGATCAAAAGCACACTCCGACTCTGCACTCGAGCAGAGTCGCAGAGCATCGATTGAGTCTGAATTAAATTCCAGACGGAAAGCGACGTGTGTCGATTTGCGTCAAAAAAATGTCGACTGTGTTCTCTGAAGGGAAAGCAGCCATAATGCCGGAATTAAGGGAGTCGTGCCGCGTTCTGCACCGGTGGAAACGTAAGAAATAATCGTCTCGAACATCTCAGACGTACGGCGCGGATAGGAGCCGCTCGTTACGTCTTTTCGAGATAATCGGTGGCGCATCTGCGACATTCGTTGCGACTTTCGCCGCGGGTAAAATCGCAGTCGCAAGATTTTACAGAGTCCCGATGGCTCCAGGGATCTCTATCTCTTTCCCGCATCGTTTTCATTGTCGTCGTCGTCGTCGTTTTTCGTTATCCTTTCCCCCGTAGTCCTTGCCCGTACTATGTGCGGTACGTATCCGCAGTCAGATAATCGTAACAGTCAGTCCCGGGCTTTTCGTCGTCGCTCGTAAAGCCACTGGCATCCGAGGAACAGCGCGGAGGAACGAGGCGGGCCAGAACAGGGCGGGTTACCGTCTTTGTTTAACTGCCGCGTTTATTGCCGCGGTGATAAACGGACGCGGACGCGAGCAGCGCGCCTCGAGATAAACGCGAGCGAGCGCGAGTGTTTCGCGTGCGCGCGCGGAGACGACGACCTAAATTTTAACGACAAATTCCACGACAGGTCTGGAGTCTAATGTTCCTTAGCGGGGCTCCCAAAGGGGCGTTGTAATTAAATAGAAACGAACATTCTGAAAGGACGAAGTCTAAGCAGACAGCGAGGTTTTCGTGCCAGCTCGAGAGGAGATACCTTATCCTCGATCGTGCGGAATTCATTGGCTCTCCTTCGGAGGATTTTAGCCGGGCAAGTGTCCACCTCGAGCTTGTCGTTAAAATTGCGCGAGATCGTAAGTGGAGAAGATGCCCCGCGTGCATTAGTTAGACCACGGGATAATGTAGCGTAACGTAATACCGCGGTGCATAGCGACGAGAAGAAAGAGCACGAAAATAGGTGCGGACTAGATTACCGGAATCCGGCGTCAGGGTATTCCAGGCATCTCTTAATAAAATCCTAGACTTCCGCAAAAATTAAGTAAGATCTTGAGGGGGCTTCGTTAAATTGCTGACATTTTTTGCACCTTAAGTTTCCGCGGGATGTAACGCCGCTTAGCATACTGCAATCTTCCCCTCGCATACCAAACGCGATCGTCTCGTAAGATTGCATATCTCTCGCCGGTCGTAACGTGCGATACAAACGGGCGTAAGTACGAAAATAGTCTTCAGAGGATTAATATTTCCTTTTTTTCCCCCGTTGTAACTGTCGATCTCTTAACTCCAATACATTATCAAACGTACATCAATTCCATACTCCTAATCTCATTTTTCGTTCATCAGGGCGTGACTCCAGGAAGTCTTTTATCTACTTTTGTTATCTCGATACATTCCCTCGGCTCCTTCGTTATCGAACGTATCTGCTAGGATAAGGTACGTTTCAGTCTGTCGTTAAAAATCAATGTCATAAAGCTGCATTTCAATTATAATATCAGTCACAACCGTTACGATAAGATCGCTAATGATGTTCGTGCCGGCGGAGGAAATACCAGCAGCATGTACTAATCGCTCAATCTCCGGCTCTCAGATCTAATCCTCCGGAAGATTATGTCACCGTACGAGAGTGCGAGAAGATATTCGCAGTCGTCAGGCCAGAATCGGGATAAATTTCTCGAATTAATGTTACTGAAAAATTCACTTGGCACACCTCGCCGTGCACGGGTCCTTTGTTGGTTGCACTTTCGCAATTCTGTACGAAAAGAGGGGAGCGAATCTGCGAGACGCGCCGCGTGCGTGTCCGTGCGGCAGAAATCCACCCTTTCGTATTCCTCTCTTTTGCCTCCTCCGCCTCTCTCTCTCTCTCTCTTTCTCTCTTCCTCGTGTGTGTTTTATTGCAAATTGAGGTTAAAGTCTCTGGCACGGAGCCAGGCATTTCACCTAGGCCGTTGCATTCCGGCAGATACACACTAACATTATACACTCGCTTATGTGTCTCGCATGCGCGCGCGCGAGATCGTCTCGATCACGACTACGCGAGGAGAAGAGCTCTTACGTGCTGCCTGCAGGCTCTGAAGTACGATTCACATGTACATATATGATACATGCCTGAATAGAGAAAGTCTCTTGAATTCGAAATATTTTTTTTCTTAAGCAGAACGTCGAGACGCCACTTGTCTACGAATTGCAAGCGATTGAAAATTAAAAGTGAAACTCGCGATTCAGTACGAGATGAAAAAAAATTGCAAAATTGAATCGTTTATAGGAATTCGAATGGACTGTGCAATCTCAGAATTTAATCGAATGAGAATTTAATTATCACGATCTCTTTAGTAGTAACATTAAATACCAGAAGATTGCAACGAGCAACGATCTCGGCATAAATTTTTCTAAAAATTCCTCTGACAAAGAATCATAAATATTCTGGTAAACAAGATTGTCGGTGACTTTGTAAAACATACAGAAAAAGAAACGGGAGAAATTATCGTGCAATTTGCGTTAATCAGCTGGACACCTTTTTTCGCGATATAAAGACGAGCGAAATATAATCAAGCTTTCGAGCAAGAATTTTTTCGATATAAGCATCGAGAGAGCGTCAGTTTTATTTTTACACTCGCGAGTCTCGCACGCGAGATATAAATAATAAGAGAAGAAAAGAAACGGCCGCTCAACGTTGAGGGCGACGACGGATATTCCACAATGCTATTAACGTACGTCGAGATAATAGCATCTTCGCTGCCGATGGATATATGTGGACGCGTTACGTGTGGACAGCGTCTTTTTCCGGCACATGCTAATCTAATTAATGGTTGCACGGAAACCCCACGTGACGTGTGTGAGGGAATGCAAGCAGCGGCGTATTTATTATGGTTCGGAGTCCACGAGATTCCCTCTCTCTCTCTCTCTATCTCTCTATTTTTCGTTTTCAGGCTTTTAAAATGCCAATTTTCGATAATGTTATTTTGCATATTCAATTAAAATTTAAAAATAAAGAAAAAATGCACATTATTATGTGGAATTATTTAACAGCAGCCGCCATAATAATTCAAATTTTTCATGCGCGAATTCATATTTCGTTTTTTATCGATGCCCGGAAGCAAAACTGAATAAGTGTAAATATTTGTAACACTCTACCTTTACGGTACAATAGTAATTTAAATTGAATATTACGATGAGCAAACAATTTTCCCTCCCACCCATATATTTTATTTTCCCATCAAACATACATATAATTATATTTGAAAATTTTCGGAAAAATCCTCGTGCATTATAACTCAATATGGTAGGGAAATTAATTTAGCAACAATAATAATAAAACGTTCGACTTTTACATTTCGCGGTAAATTAGAACACAGGCATTCCAAAATATGTCATTGATCAGGAGAGAGAAATACACGTGTGCCAAAGCGTAGATAACGAGGTCTCTTCTTAACTGCGTAACAAGTATCGCAAGATACGGATAAAACCGGATTATCTCCGGCGCTTTCGATGTCGATAACGAGCCAGTTAGGAGGTAAATTGCGTTTCGACTAAGAAAATTATGCACGAGAACTGGAACGATAAGCGCGACACGTGAACCGCTTATGAGATAATAATTAAGACAAGCTGAGCGACCGAGCTGTGCGATTGAACGTAGAGATATCGATATTACGCATATGCATAATTATTATTTCCGGATAAAATTTATCGACAAAATGCGATAATCTTAGCGACAGGTGTATAAGATTAAACGTCTCGTGTTTTACCTAAAGAAAATTTATCTAATTTATTTTCACTCGTTATCTTCAGCGGGATTTATCAACTATCTGGATCGCCAGGAAGTCCATTATACTCTGTATAATCTTCTCGGGATGCTTGGTTTTTTTTCTCTAATCCGAATCATCCTCGTCCCGTCCCATTCACCCGCGTGTTCCTCGATACCGTTTTACCAGCTTATTAATCCGTTCCTCGCCGCTCTCGTTTTCCGTCGTTTTAACGAAGCGTGTCGCGCGCTCCGCGAGTCGCCGCGATGCGCGTCGTTATCCTTTACGGCCGGCATTACAGCGGGTATCCTGAGATACAGGAAACGACGCGGCGTTACGCCAATGGCACGCACACGCACCTACCGTACGCGAGCGCGTAATCGTATCTCGGCGCTGCACGCGTGTAACCCATTACATGTATCACGTTACACTCCGCGCACGTACACGCGCACACATCA